CGGCTGGGCTCCTCCTGGCCGGGTTCTCCCGCCCCGAAAGGCCCACCCCAGCGGGCCCTGCGCCGCGGAGGTCCCGGGTGAGGACCCCTGGGCTCTGCCCTCCCCCTCCGCCCCAGGTGTGCCCGCTTCCGGCTGGGAGCAAGAGGAAACCTCCTCATTCTGCATTCCTCTCCCCAGCCAAGCAACCCAAGTTTTGCGGTAAGGTCTTAATTTAAAAAAAAAAAAAGAAGAAGAAGAAGAAAGAAAGAAAAGGCCTCACAGATTCTAGGGGCATGAATAGAAACGCTTTCATCCCAGCTTCAAACATCCATAAACATCTGGACTTATATTGCCGGGAATAGAAAGTCAAACATACATTCCCCAGAGAGCCCCGGTTCTGAAAGGACAGCCTGTACCCACAGAAGCTTCAAAATCCGCTCTCTACGTCCCATTTCCTCTCCGGAAGAGCGATGGTGGTGCGGGGCTGGAGGCTGCCCAGGGGACCCCCCAGAAAACGGACTGTCTGTGGGAGGGAAATAGGCATCAATGCTGTGTCTGTCTAAGGGAAGGTGGTGGCTTTAGGAAAGAGGCTGGCTCTGCCTGCGGAAGCCAGCAAGACTTCTAAAGCCAGGTGACATTCGAGCTGAGTCTTAAAACATGACAATGAACGGTGAGTTCCAACAGATCCTATCTGGTCTTCCTGTTTCACTATTGCCCCTCTGCAATTCAGCTTCTACATAGGAGCCTAACAATCACGTCTCATATTTGGACATTATGTCCATAAAAGGTTTATGGCAATAGCGAGAGGTGGAAGCAACCCAAGTACTCCTCTTTGGATGAATGGATAAGGATAATGTGATAGCTACATACGATGGAATATTATTCAGCCTGAAAAAGAAAAGGAATTCTGATACATGCTACAACATGGATGAACCTTGAGATATAACAGTAAGTGAAAGACGCTAGTCACAAAAGAGAAAAATACTGTATGATTCCATTTATAGGGGGAGTCTAGGGTAGTCAGATTCATAGAAACAGAAAGAACAGTGGTTGTCAGGAGTTAGGGCTGGAAATGGAGTTATTGTTTAATATTGTTTAATTGTTTAGTGGCAGTGGTTTACTAGGGCAATGATAGTTATAATGATGAAAAATGTTTCTCAACTCCCAGTGAGAATTCACCAATTTAGAAGGACCTTAGAAGAAGCTAGATGTGTATGATAAAGGAAAGAGGACACTAAGAAATTTGAAAGAAGCTATGCTCAGGAGAGGAGGGATTGGTAGACAGAATATTTGCAATCTCTGGTGGACATTTGTCATTTGTTTTGTCTTTTGGATGATCCCCAAAGCCTTTGAACACCGTGTTAGTCCAAGTTCTCCAAAGAAACAGAACCAATAGGGGAGAAAGAGACAGAGAGACACAGAAAAAGGGAGAGAGAGAGAGATTGGTTATGAGGGACTGGCTCTCATAGTTATAGACACTGAAAAGTTCTACAATCTGCAAGCTTGAGGCCCAGGAAAGCCAGTGGTGTAATCCAGTCCAGGCCTGAAGGCCCAAGAACTAGAAGAGCCAATGGTGAAAGTCCCAATCTGAGGCCCAAGAACCAGGAATGCTGATGCCCAAGGACAAGAGAAAATGAATGACCCTGCTCGGGCAGAGAGCAGATTTGTCCTTCCTCTGCCTTTTTGCTTTATTCAGGCCCTCAAATGATTGGATGATGCTCACCCACATTGGTAAAGGTGATCTCCTTTACTCAGTCTGCTGACTCAAATGTTAATGTCTTCCAGAAACACCCTCACAGACACACTCGGAAATAATGTTTTACCAGCTATCTGGGCATCCATTAGCCTTGTCAAGTTGACACATTAAAATTAACCACTGACAGGTGGGGTGGCTGAAGCTTGTGATCCCAGCACTTTGGGAGGCCAAGGCAATAGGATTGCCTGATCCCAAGGGTTCAAGACCAGTCTGGGAAATTTGGCAAGGCACTGTCTCTATGATAAATCAAAAAAATTAGCTAGGTGTGGTGACACGCACCTGTGGTTCTAGCTACTTGGAAGGCTAAGGCAAAAGGATCACTAAACCCAGCAGGTCAAGGCTGCAGTAGCCATGAGCATGCTGCTACACTTCAGCCTGGGAGACAGAGTGAGACTTCAACTCAAAAAAAAAAAAAAAAAAATTAACCTTCACAAACACCCTTACTAAATTTGGGGATTTCCAACTTTATGAGTCAGCACCTCCTCAAGAAGAATCCAGAGACTTGTTTCCCTAACATCTCTTGCAGCTAGGATATATATAAGTGACCCAGACTTTATCAATCGGATATGGTATCTGTGCCCAGCAGCAGTGACTCTGGGCCTCCCATAGAGCAAAACTGCTTTATAAGTTGGGGATGTTTCATGACCATGTGACTTCCAAGCTTCACTCTCGCACCCTTCCAGAAATTATGTGAGCAACTTAATATCCAGGGCTACCTATGGTTGGTACAGGTTGTACACTGCACAACTTCAGAGGAGCACTATTCATACTCATAGTCAGCGCATATTGATTGTAGTAATTGGAGATCCACTTAAATAAATGGCAGTGAGGTGTCTTGAGGAGTGGGGCTGATAATACCGTAGCTAGAGTGGGTTCTGTTTGCAATCAAGAATACAGATACATTAATTTTTTAATTTTTTCCACTGAAAACCACTAGGGGGCACTGTATCAAAGAGCTCAAAATAAATCTCAGCTCCTTGGTAATGTCAGGATACAATATTTGTCAGTAACTCAGACTATTTCAGATGCTGGTATATAAATGTCATGCCATCTTAAATGAAATGGAAATTGTCTGATAGGTTGGTGTCCCCAGAGTTCCCACCAGAGTTCACACTCCAGGGCAGTTGTCTTACATTGGAAGTCCAAGTTTGGAAAACAAAACAAAGCTAACACTTCTGGCAGTGACAGGTGGGGTGGTTGCAAAGGCTTCTGGCATGTCACCAGCAAAGTGACTGCTGGCCTAGGCAGTAACCATTAGGTGCAAATGCGTTTCTCTAGATTATCTTGTAGTGCTTTGTCAAAAAAAAGACTACAATAATTTTTTGGCAATCTAAAGGTTTATGTAGTTAAAAAAAAAAAAAAACCAAACAAGAGTTTCTTGACTTATTCAAAAAATTAAGAATAAAAATAATTAAAATGTATAAATATTGTATATTGTTTTTAGAATTGTATTATTTTCAAAATAGGTAACACATGCACTTGGTCCAGATTTTGAAAGGTAAAAAGCAATCAACCAAATGTTAGGATTGCTTTCAGCTTTGCATAACTTCTGATAAGCAAAGGATTCCACCCTTTGGAGAGTTGTTTTTCCCACACAGGTAGAATTTCAGCAGTAGTATGAGACTTGCGGGTTACCGAAGGAAACCATTTTCTTCTGCTTCAGTATGGTTAGTGTGTGGATTTTGTCCCCAAGGCTGCTGGACCTCCAGTTATTGTGATGGCATTCCAGGCTGAAAGAAGAGGGAAGGACAAAGAGAAAAATGTAGAGATTTGCTACCTGGCCACAAGGGAATTTTGGAAGGTACGTTTTTAAGGTGACGAAGGCAAAGGGGGAAAAAATGGATTGGAATGGATGTTGACAGCAAACCTGTGGTATTTGCCACAGGGATACAGTGAAAAGGAACTATCCCCACACCCTTTGTCCGATTGTGGTAACACCACTGTTGCCAATGTCTTGAATGTATATAGACATGTAGGTATAAACATTAAAAAATACATATGCAGACATGGAATAGTCTATTGAAAGAAGATATAAAAACAAAGCAGGTGGTATCACATTACCAGACTTCAAACTTTATTATAAAACTACAATAATCAAAACAGCTTGGTATTGGCACAGGAACAGGCATATAGACCAATGGAATAGAATTGAGATTCCAGAAGCAAAACCTCAATTTCTCAACCAACTCATCTTCGACAAAGCCTCCACCACCCACCACTGGGAAGAGGAGAACCTATTCAGTAAACGGTGCTGGGAAAACTGGCTGACTACATGCAGAAGATTCAAACAGGACCCCTATCTATCCCCATACACAAAAATTAACTCTAAATGGATCAGAGATCTAAATGTAAAACCTCAAACCATAAGAACCTCAGAAAATGAAGGACATACCCTCATGGAAATTGGAACTGGTATCCAATTCCTGAACAAAACCTGAAACCCAGGCCATAAGAGATAAGATAGACAAGTGGGACCTCACTAAACTGACAAGCTTCTGCAAAGCCAAAGAAACCATCAAGAGAGCAGGGAGACAGCCTACAGACTAGGAAAAAGTATTTGCCAACTCCAGGTCTGACAAAGGCTTAACATCCTGGCTCTACAAGGAACTCAAATGTGCTGAAAAGATAAAAACAAACAGCCCCATTATAAAATGGGCAAAAGATATGAACAGACACTTCACAAAGGAAGACATCCAAGCAGCCAACAGACACATGAAGAAATGTTCAACCTCACTAATCATCACGGAGATGCAAATCAAAACCACACTGAGATCCCACCTAACTCCAGTTAGAATGGCAATTATCAATAACTCAAAAAAACAGTTGCTGGAGAGGGTGTGGTGAAAAGGGAACACTTCTACACTGTTGGTGGGAGTGCAAACTAGTGCAACCTCT